CTTGATGAGAAGGCGAGGTCTCGTTTAATAAACCGGCAGATTCCAATTTCCTTGCGCACAACAATCCTGTATGCTCGAGAAGCGTGTTTGTGTCAGCTTTGACAAAATGTCATTAAGTTGTAGTAGATTCGATAAGCACTATACTTTGGATAGTATTGTAGATGGGCGCCTTTTCGAAGGAGATTGGAGTTGAGGACCCCTGACTTGTGGGGTGTGTTTTGGCGTGGGCAATATATATTGAAGTTAGATTACGTATAAATTGTTTTGCGTGCAGCTAGGTGAGATGAATTTCTCTACAGTTGGCTGCGTCCCCTATTTAGTCATGAGCACGTTGTAGGCTTGCAACACCTTTCAGACGAGAACCGCTTCCTGTGGAGAAAGAATGGTGCGGACTTACATTTCGAGGACGTTATTTGTTTGTGCTACATGGGCACGAATGTTCATGACGTGAAATTTCTACGGTTTACGTTTTTGACCTATGTTCGGCTGCCATTCTTCAACTGATGTAAGGTCTTTCAGCTGCAAGCTCAGTTGAATCTTCTTCGCCTTCTTATAGACCTCCAGAAATTCCACACCACCTATCGAGTAGATCATTGCTTTCGAGCTTCTTCTATTTAACAAGTCACTGATGATGTAAGGGAAGAGAGGTGGACCCAAGGTGGTCTCTTGTCAAACTCTTGATGCGAAAACTCTCCCGTTCACGTGCACTACACCAAAACATGGTGGAATTTTTCTATAACAAGGTAGTTTCCTAGCCATGATAGAAGCGGATCAGTGAAGCCACATTTTCGACAACCGTTTCAACAGTCAAGAAATGTCAAACCAACCGGTATTTTTTTGATACCAGTGGGTTTTTCGGCTGTCCCAGTCATCCGAATATGGATGCACCTGTTACCGTTTTGAGCTTCTTGTAAGATGTTGTTATGATACTTAATTCATCAGTGTTTCAACTACCTTCGATAGTGTTGGTAGTTCGTGCGACCTGGTCTGCAACAAGCTGGATCCTCTCTATCTTCATTTCAAAGAACAGAGAGCGAGTAGCTCGTTGTCATTCAGCTGGGATTTGGTGTAATTCTAGTGAATGCCTGAACAAGTCACACACTGGTAAATTGGGGCTTCTGTTTAAACAACACCAGGATGACTGAGTCACATCGGTAAGTCGGATACCGTGTAGTGTTTTGGATTGGAAATGTCTGTAAACATATGTAGCCACTCTGCCACCTGTCTTGCGCACCCTATCGCATCGTAAGAGTGTGATTCCTTGCAAGCTCACTTCATTGTCTGTAATGTTATGGGGTACTCATGTTTTATTGATGGTTATGATCTTCTTATCCAACTAAAAGCACATAGATTTTGATAAAACAGTAAGAAGAAGTTACTGATTCTAAAAATATGATGTATTTGCTCTATAAACTTCGAAAAATTTCGGTCACACGTATTTACTTGTCAAGGCATATTACATGAAGATTAATAAAAGTTCAATTAAAGAAGTGTTCAAACAGACCTAAGGTGATAATTGTAAATAAAGGAGAGAGAAATCTAACGTAATATGAAAAGAATAAGAAAGGGTAGGAAAATTGTCACATTATCCTTGGCTTAAAGACTACCAGAGTAAATTCAAGGTTATTATAATTGTTTCTGCACACATAAGGGGGGTTTTAATTTTCAAATAGCCAAGACATCCATAAACCTCAAAATTCGTCCTTCAACCTTCCTTTACAATGTTTTGAAGGCTGTCTTGATGTCAATCTTATGCCCTGTCTTAATTATGCGTTTTGCGGTCGATTAACATAGTTTTATTTTTCCAACACACATCTGAAGGTAACTGATTTTGAAGCCACTTAGGTACATGTTCCATAACCCTTGATTGCAAATTCCGATTACCCCTCTCTATATACGTGTGTCCACACAAACATGTAAATTGATAAATACAATGGGAAGTGACGTTCAGTTCTATGTGAAATGATGGGCTTAGTCTTTTCTCGATGGCTGCTTCTAGTCTCTGTCTTAATACCAGACCATTCGCTTCACCTCTATACGGTAAAGTGATATAAACCTTTTTCATCTCAGCCGAATGTAAAACTTGCTTTTTTCTTCACTGATTTCTACACCTACTGATGAACTTTAGCGGATAGCCATTTGAAATCAATGCTTCAGTTAAGAATTTTGCATTGTCTTCAAATGTATCCGTTGTGCAAATCCTTTGAACCCTTTTGAAGAGGCATTTTACCAAACCTCGCTAATATTGCAGTGGACAAAATCTGCTGAAATTTAGAAACTGTCCAGTCCGGGTTGGTTTTCTATAAATAGAACACTTTATAGTTCCATTCCTACTTCGACTCAGCAGTATGTCTAAAACAGGCTATCGGTTGTTAATTTCTGGTTCATGAGTTAGTAAAATGTCATTCTGAAGACTATTGAAGTTGTCCAGTAACGGAGAGACATTGAGTTCTTTATCACATATAATTAATATATCATCCATATATCTCCTATACAGAGTAAGCTTATTGATGTGATCATTCCACAAATTTTCAGCATATGCCATATAAACACAAGTTAAGAGAGGTCCCAAAGGACTACCTGTAGCAACGCCATCAACTTGCTGGAAATGTTCATTACCAAACTGGAAATGAACTTTCTCAGTACATAATAAAATTAATTATCTTAGTAGAGTTGACTGAATGGGAAAAATAGGGAAATTACTTATATATAATCACAAAGAAAGTTAACAGTTTTCATCAAGGGAACACTGGTAAAAAGAGAGTTTACACCAAAAAAATGCATAGTCTTCTCTTTAATATTAATGTCATCAAGAATATCAATTAGTTCAAATGTGTCTTTCAGGGAAAACTTACATAATTTATTACGAATTGCGTCAAGTATTTAGCTAACCATTTGGCTAGCTTATGTCTAGGTGAGCCGCTGATATATAATATAGGTCTTAGTGGATTATTCGGTTTATGAATTTTACAGAATCCATATAAATTCGACAGTTCAGAACCAGTTATCAGATTTTGAAACAAATGGGTTTAAACGAGGGTTGGTTGGACTTCTCAATGACTAAGTCGATTTTCAAGCTACATTTAGCGAAGGAATTTTCCCTTTAGAGAAGGATTGTATAGTGTTTACACCTCAGTTGTTTGTCGAAGAGAGCCCTACCTTCGAGTAAGCTACCCACTGACATTGGAACATTAAACAGGTCTATTCAGGGAAGGAATATTGGCAGATTATGGTTGAGGTCTGTGGTTTAGCTATTGGTAATCCTGTCGTCTCATAGACTCTGGACCGTCATCGAAAGTACTAAAATCACGGTGACTTATCATGAATCCAGAGGAGAAGAAGGAGAACACAGGTGAGGGCAACCGAATTTCTAGAGAAGATGAAAGAGTTCTCATAGATGACCACTGGCTATCAGTACTTGGTGGTGCCGAAATCTGACCAGACAATGGTGAGTTAGATTTATTTTGCGGAGACATGCATGCTTACTGAGAATCCAAATTTTCACTGGGAATATAGGTCCCACCTACGATTTGCTTAGCAAGGCGCACAGCTTCTGCGTATCTTTTTACCCTAGTACGCGGATCATAAAGCTTATCAAAAAACTCTTTAAAAGGGTACAACTTAGCACAGCCTAAATAAGAAAATTGATCCCAAGCAAGCCAGTCTACGCGAGCAGTATATCCAGCCGCTAAACTTGGATCCGAGGTAGTTGCAAGAACAGCCAAAGATGATGCATTGTTTTCCAATGACTGCAAAGTTTAGCCCATACCATATTACGCACGCGTAGTTCCCCTGAAACCATGCTGATGAAGGCGAACTTTTGGAATACATAGGTGCTTGGATAGCAGATTCTTCGTTTATTTGTTCTGTTATATTTAGACTCGGCAATAAAGACAGATATGTATCTGAGGATGAATTAGGAGTTTGGGTTGGATAAAGAGAAGTCAACGATGACTAGCTTACAGGATCTCGTTGAGACTTCCGATTGGCTAGAGAACGAGGTTGTCGATACCTGTGAGAATAAGGTTGCTTGTCATTTGATAATTTTACTTTACTAGTATCAGGCTCAGATGAATTAGCACTACTGCTTGATTCGAATTTCTCCCGGGAAAATTTTCCCGTAGTTTGTTTTTTGGCAGTTAGTTTAACGCCGGATTTGGATTTTACAACCATGGTATTAATTTCACAAGTGAGTTGTTTGTTTTTTTCATTTTTCACGTCAATAAAAGTAGGGCTTTCAAATGTGTTAGTGACTTCACCTATATTCAGACTGATAACTGGAGAAGTATGAATGCATAAACTGCTGCTTCTGTTGGTACAAGACGATAGAGCTGTTGAAAGACCCTGAATACTGCCAGACGTCGATGGAGAACCCATATTGTACGTCATATTAGTCAGCGATGGGCATCTCAAATCACCAGAAGGGACAGAAGTGAGGCTATCCTGAGTAGTGAAACAATCGCTTCCGAAGTCAAGTGCTGTTGTCGCTGGAGTTGAACTGTTTGACTGAATATTTGTTAGGGCTTGGTCTTTAGCCATCCACATGTTTATGTTTCTGATAACCACGTGCCCGAGGACCATAAAGATCTTCTCCTTCTTGAAACTCGTAAACATTTACACCGAAAAAATCTCCAGGATCAGGCTCCAACGTATTTGATTGCACGAATTCCGCTAAACTTTCACTGGACAGTTGTATTGGTTTCATGGAAAAGTTGACGCCTTATTGTTAGGTGACTGCCAATCAAGTTGTAGTAGTTAGGACGACGAAATAACACCAAACGATCAACAAAGTCACAGGGTTGCTGAGGCTGGAGAGATTGGCACTTGAATTATGACTTGAAGTACAGATAAGCAAAAGATGTACAACAGTTATTGTTACACATGTTCAATAACAAGTATTTATATGTCAGCAATCATATTTTCTTCACAAAATATTTCCACCACAAAGTAATGAAGCAATCACTTGCGTAGCGAAAATTACATGAGCCAAGAATTTTCTGCAAACGTCACAGAAATCTAATTATTTTTAAATTCCAAGAGGAGAAATACAGAGTAGGTGAACCTATGTACTGCAAAAGTTGCATTCAAAAGCAGATTCGCCGATCTTACTAGAAGTAGAAATCTGAGAAGGGGTGTTGTCCTTTATTCTTTGTTGGAGACGCAATGAAGATGTCTGGATCGAGTGATCCGAATTAGCCACATTACTCCAAAGTACCCTTTCTAGTGACGTTTTCAGTTTTTGAAGCGACTAAATTAACTTGCATGTAGTATCCGTTACTTTTTGACGTTAAAAATGATCTTATACTCCTTAATGAATTTGAGATTAATTCTTTGATATACAATAAGTAATTATGACTGTTGAAATGTGGGCAAGTTCCGGATGTTTCATAATAAAGATGAGTTATGACAAGCGAAAAACTTTAATATGTGTGCAGAATTTCGGGAAAAGAAATAATTTGTTACATGAGAAATTGAGAGAATAGGATTTTACAAAGTAAAGTATACAACCATTATATTTTTCCAGACCTTAATCGACCTCTTCAGCATAATTTTATTTCCGCAAGTTAATCAATTAATCTTCGGTTTCAAATTATCACTTCCAGTTAACAGCATTCAAAATATTTGTCAAGGTAACACAAAATCAGTATTGAAAATCCGATGTCAAGTTTGTCACATATTAAAACCAATTTCAGCTATTTTTCATGACCAGAGACTTCTGATTCGAACAGAATTTCAATTCAATGGAGTAAATGTTAGAAATCAATAGTTACGAACAGCTTTTAGTCTTGTATCATGAACACACAAGTGGATCCATTAATTACTTTTAGTTTTTGTCTACAATTCACCAACTCTCAGATGAACTGATTCGGTCTCAAATCACTCGAAATAATTTCAATGGTGATAATGTGAAATTTCAACCAACCAATTATAGTGGTATACTTTTACGAAGAAAACATAATTGCTGAATTATAAACATTTATTATTGTACTTTGTTTTTACAATAATTGTTATATTGTACACCTCTTGCTGATCTGTACTAAAGACTATCTCTCGCGCACCAAGCATTTCATTCCCATTCTCCTCTTCGCACGTCTCCTGCATGGATGTTGACCGTTCGTACGCCCTCTTACCTCGATATTGTTTCGATATCACGAGGCGAGTATCCAATATACTTCTTCTTTTAGAATCTCCTTCTGATTTGATTCACAGAGTTTTGGGATTAATATTTGTTATCTCGCGAAGAAGTTTATCATACGAATCGCTATACTGGTGAGCTACAAATTCGAATACGCAGTAAATTCGGTCTGACTGTACTTTTCCCACCCAATTTTCTTACTATTTTATCTGTTGCTTATATATATTACAACTGCAGCAGCGTTTGAAAATGGTAGATAAACCTAAAAATGACGATATTTAAGCTGACTCACACGTACAGTTATCACGTTTTCTACCTGTAGCGTTTATCTCCCATGATCCAGAGGTACGGTTCGCTGCCACGGAAGCTCAGTTTGAGATGTGCCGCGTTACGAACCAGCGGCTAATATACGCCTGAGCCCTGAAATCTCTACATGAGATCATATAGCGGCCGTTCGTGAGGTCCTCCTTAATTCTGGAGTACCAGATGTCTACGATCGTCTCAAGCAGGAGATTCTCCGACACTTCCTCCTATTGAGCGAAGAAGAACTGGGAACACGTTGAGCACGTCACCACCAAGGTGATGCCAAACCTGAGCACCAACTCACGCGCCTGCAATCATCGAAAAAGTTTATTCACGATCGAAAAAAAAATAAAAAATGGTTTGCTTATAATCAACTTACAGAAATGTATTAAGTTACGAATTCAAGCCGTTTGGACGAATATATAGTTCCGTTCAACTGTTGTAATCATGTTGACCACACAAATCTGCAAAATCGAATGTGTTTTCGTGTTCATGCTACTTTGTAGATCACAAATTCTGGTACACATGATTGTGACGATTCAGTGAATGAGAATGTTGTTTGCCACCAAATTTCTAGCAACGACTTGGTGATCGGCATGCCTGATACACATAACTTTCTCATACATCATCAAATTCATCTGTGTCTGTTCTGAGTTGTTCATCTACTCAACAGAATCTACGTAAACTACATTTCAGTAACCTACTTTAAGAAGTTTTGTATATAATATTCACACCACTTATTATATGTACTTATCATATGTATTTATTGAAATTTTGCAAACATGGAAAAATCTCACACTTAATTAGTACAAAATTCATATAATTACGTGGATGAGAAGTTCTCTAATATGGGCATACTATGAAAGTACACCGCATTTGATAAAGAGTGCTATTATTTCTTGCTAGAATACAATTTTTCTCATAACAGTGTCTATCGGTGTCCTGTTTTCAGGTGTAAATCTGTTGACGAGAATTCAAAAACTAAATGAGTTCATGTTATTCTACTACAATTTTTGTTTTCGCGTTATGAAAATTGTGCTATTAAAAAGAATAAGAGCTTAGTTTCTGCATTTAGACGGCGATGGCATAAACGTATCTGATACAAACGTAATTCATTCACAGAACCGAAGAATCTGATGGGTAATCATTAGCTCGTTCGTATGTTAGGTGTTATCAATAGGTCAGATCGCGCTAAAATATGAGTGTTCGAACAGTACTCGGACAAGATAATTAATCCAACCAACTAGCATCGAAATATAGTGTACGCGTTTTCGATTCTCTGCCTCTAGTGATCACATTGCGTATTGGTCATTAGGATTCTCCCACTACCAAGGATTGTACAAGCATGAAATTGATCACTGACTAGATCAATGTAAATATCGAAGTCGTAAAAGCGGCCACTAGCTGTGCAAAAAGTTAAGCGATAATCTTTTACAGATGGAGGTTGCGCGAACCTGGTCGGAAACTAGTAAGTATCATCAATTTCCTCAGAAAATTTCGCGGACATTGTTGACTGGCCACAACTTTAAAGTAAACCTCTAAAGATGTTATTCGAATAATCCTTGTAAAGGGAGGCTGTCTGTCAAATCAAAAGATTACTAATATGTAAAGAGTGATACTCCACATACATAGGAAACTTTGGCAGTTCATATGTGGTTAGATTAGTGAATATATTATCTATTGAGAGATTAAGTACCCTAAGTGAATCTCACGCTGGCCTCATAAAAACGACAGTCAAGTTAATACTCGAAATATCTCACGTGCAAGAGCAAACAACAATGTGCACTCCCATGTTTATCGTTATGATTTACTCCTGCAAAAACTGCCTAGTAGTGGAATGCATTATCAAACACATGATCATTGGGCGATCGTGCTGTTGAATGTAGGTCAACCGACTCGTTTCAACTTCTGAGTAATCTGCTTGCAGATGCGAACAGTCTTCTTGATCTGTTCACTTGTAACAATCAGAAAGGTTCAACATCTGGACAGGTCTACTTCAATGCAAGTATTGCACTGAAGACCAACTATCTCAACTGTTTCCCTATGTTAGCAGCTGAGTCGCATAAAGACAGGTTTCCTTACACTGTGGTACACCATCTTTCCTGCATTCCTGCCTTTTCAAATTTACTGGATCGTAGTTTGTGAATAAGCACTACCCTACGAAACACAAGCATTCATGTTTAACTTCTTTCAAAATGTTGCCCATCAGGCATAGTTTATGTGCTCGATTGAGCGGTGTTTATGCTGAAGCACGGTAATGGTTTATCAGTCACAGACTGTTGAAATTCAAAGTCAACCAACAAGTCGTTTGGACGAAAAGATAGCTCCGTTCAACTGTTGTAATCATGTTGACCACAAAAATCTGCAAAATCGAATGTGTTTTCGTGTTCATGCTACTTTGTAGATCACAAATTCTGGTACAAATGATTGTGACGATTCAGTAAATAAGAATGTTGTTTGCCACTTAATTTCTAGCAACAACTTGGTGATCGGTGTGCCTGATACACATAAATTTCTCATACATCATTGAATTCTTTTGTGTTTGTCTTGTTATATTTATTACTTTTACTGTATCTGCCTACTTGCCTACATGGCCACTGTCTCAGTTTCTTGCTGGTAACTTTTACTTCAAATGAAATATATGTCTTACCGTTTTATTCCAACAACTTTATTTCTGTGTCTTTTTACGTTCTTACCAAATTTTTATTTTTTGCTCATGACTTTCACTTTTTCACGGGCTATATTTTTCTTTGCTATTCCTCTCTTGCTTTTAGCTTGAATAATTAGAAGATTGGTTTGTTTTTGTTGCGTTCGGGTGCTCTTTGCAGTGCACTCACTATCCATTTACTGCACCTATTCCTTATTTTCTCCACCTCGAATAATCTTTTCCATTCTCTCTTGCTGCCCACGCCATCGAATTCTTTCTCGTAGTCGATGAAGTTGATGTAGTGTGGTCAGTTCCATTCCATTGATTGTTCCACAGTAATCCGTAATAAAGCAATTTGGTCAGAACACGATTGATCCTTACGAAATCCAGCCTGTTGATCTCGAGGTTGGACGTCTACGAAGTCCTTCATTCTGTTAAACAATACCCTGTTGAAGACTT